CATTTAGGTCTAAAAAAAATTAAAAATTCAACTAAAAATAACACAATAAAAAAAATTCTAATTAACTCTTGAGATCTGCTGTGTTAAAATTATTTATAAAATCACACAGTGAACTGCATTTCCTTTTAACATTGTAATGYCAGTTTTGGTTATCTACTTGATTGTTTTGATTATTTACTTCTTGCTAAATAGCTAAAGTAAACTAAGAAATAACAAAACTGCACTTTAAATTCGAGTGACCATCTGTGAATTATTCCTTAATCCAGTAACAAACTTTGTTTTAAAATGTATTATTTTACGTTAAGTTGTTTGCTTAAGAAGGTTACAATCCAGCTTATTAATCTTCCCACATGTATACATATTTACTGCAATTGCCACTACTAGTTATTCTAATTATCTGAAAATTGCATTTTTAAGTCGTTACTTATTCAGCGCAGTATTTATCTTAGGTAAATTTTGAGATGCTGACGTTTATTTTTTTTTATGATGTTACATTTCAGCTTTAGTGCCTCCTGGCAAATGGCACCCTTTCCAGTTTCATAACAGAGCTTGAAGACAGAGACGAATCACTAGCCTTGCTGACTGGTTCCTCTTGGTTGGCTTTCTTTCTGTCTGTAGTGAAAGAGGCTGGTGGTGTCAAGCTCACCTGCATTACAAATAGCTTCAGCAAACAGCTTCACCACCTACCAAACAGACAAAAAAAAAAAAAAAACTTCAAATAAAACAAGCAGAAATTCACAAGATAAAACAAAGAAACTAAAAATATTCCTCTTTCTTTGTGAACAAAATCATCTTAACTGACCTGGTAATTAGTAATGAGGGGAACTCCATGATCAACAGCCATTCTGCGGATGAGGAAGTTATCCTTCAGGTGGCGAGTGTTGTTATTAGGGAGGTTGACAACCAGATCAATATGACCCTCACTGATCAATCTATCAAAAAAACACAAAAATCAGATTTAGAAAAAGAAAATAACAAAGCATTTCATTTAAATTTCACACATCGTGTGCAACATTTTGAAGCAAACTAGGTATGTTTGCAGACATGTGGCTGAGACTCTTAATTCCGTTTAAAATCAGCAGCTGCATATTAAGCAACCCAAAGCTTTCAGTCACTTTGAGCACATTTGCAGTCCCAATACTGCATCGCTCAAACTTTCAACAAAACTGAAAAGAAAAAAAAATTGTATAGGTCTTCTGGACGGGAAATCACACACACGACAGGCCCTGGAGCAGTGTGGTTATCCTGACTGGGCTTTCCTGAAAGCAGACAGGAAACACAGACAG